GCCTGGCGCACTGTCCCGGGCCCGCCCGGCCCCGCCATGGCCAGGCCACAGAGAACCCCGGCGCGCAGTCCCGACAGCATCGTGGAGGTGAAGAGCAAAGTAAGGACCCCTCCAGTCCTAGCTCCGGCTTTGGCACTAGGTGCCTCCAATTCCCTCATTCTCCCCTTCCTAGCTCCTTGGTCCCAGCACCTTTCTCTCTCCTCTATCCTCCACGTCCCATTCTCCGGTTTTTCTTCTCGCTTTCCCGCACCCATCCTCCTTCCTTTCACTGTCGGCCTCTAGAGCCCCTCTGTGGCTTGGGTTACCTGGAGGGCGGGGAGAAGACCTTGGACAGCGTCCCTTGTACTGGAGCTGAGGTCTGGACACAAGGCTGCAGCTGTTGCGGCAGCCCGCCTTCACACCCCTGCCACCCTGGGACCGGTGGTAAGAAAGGACGCAGGCTCCGTCCTGACCCCTCCTCTTCCCCTGCCTCCAGTTTGACGCCGAGTTCCGACGCTTCGCGCTGCCCCGCGCTTCGGTGAGTGGCTTCCAAGAGTTTTTGAGGTTACTGCGTGTGGTGCATCAGATCCCAGGGCTGGACGTGCTGCTTGGCTATACAGATGCTCACGGCGACCTACTGCCCCTCACCAACGACGACAGCCTGCACCGGGCCCTGGCCAGCGGGCCCCCACCGCTGCGCCTGCTAGTGCAGAAGCGGGGTGAGGAGAATGGGGTACAGTGGGCAACCTCTGTGGGGTAAGGTGACAGGGCAGGTCTCCAGGGGCTAGTTTATGCCCAGGGTGCCCAGGCTTCACGCTCTGCAACCCCTGTCCTTGGCCTGACCTCCAGGTGGTAGGAAATAGCTAGTGTCCCCTTCCCCTGACCTGGGCATGATAGAAAAGGACCCAAGTGGGAGAGTAGGGTCTCTGATCTCAGCGCCTCCCTCTCCTGCAGCAGAAGCTGACTCCAGCGGCCTGGCCTTTGCCTCCAACTCTCTGCAACGGCGTAAGAAAGGGCTCCTACTTCGGCCAGTGGCACCTCTGCGCACCCGGCCGCCCCTCCTAATCAGCCTGCCCCAAGATTTCCGCCAGGTTTCTTCAGTCATAGACGTGGACTTACTGCCTGAGACCCACCGGCGGGTGAGGCTGCACAAGCATGGTTCTGACCGCCCCCTAGGTTTCTACATCCGAGATGGCATGAGCGTGCGTGTAGCTCCCCAGGGCCTGGAACGGGTCCCAGGCATCTTCATTTCTCGCCTGGTACGAGGGGGCCTGGCTGAGAGTACAGGGCTGCTGGCAGTCAGTGATGAGATCCTCGAAGTCAACGGCATTGAGGTGGCTGGGAAGACCTTGGACCAAGTGACAGATATGATGGTCGCCAACAGCCACAACCTCATTGTCACTGTCAAGCCAGCCAATCAGCGCAATAATGTGGTGCGTGGGGCATCTGGGCGTCTGACAGGGCCTCCTTCTGCTGGGCCTGGGCCTGCTGAGCCCGATAGCGATGATGACAGTAGTGATCTAGTCATTGAGAACCGCCAGCCTCCCTGTTCCAATGGGCTGTCTCAGGGGCCTCCATGCTGGAACCTGCACCCAGGCCGCCTACTTCCAAGTTCCCGCAGCTCTCTGCCATCCCTGGATGATCAGGAGCAAGCCAGCTCTGGCTGGGGGAGTAGTATGCGAGGAGATGGTAGTGGCTTCAGCCTCTGATACACAAGGAAGCAGCCCCTTGCCACTCCAGGGGACTTCCCCAGTGGGGGTTTTAGCTTGCTCACAGGGCCCTCTCAGATTGGGGAACATTAAAGGTTTTCTACAAATGCAGTTATGGGTGTTCTGTGTCCCAGTCCCAGCCTCCTCCCTGACCCCACAATCTTGCCTTCTTCCCTGGACATGAGGCAGGAGTGATAAGGGCAGCAGAGAGACTTTTCTGCAGTCGAGCACCAGGAGGGCCACCAGGGTAATTTCTAGGGTAAGAAAAGCACGTATGGAGACAAATCCCACTGTGTATAAAAAGTTTAATTTTGACAAAGGGATTAAGAGGCTGGGCTAGGAGGGCCCTTCTGCAGCCACCAGTGGCTAAGAAAAGTGCTGTGGGGATACTGTTCCCCACCTACTGCTTATGTCTTTGGACTCTATGATGGGGCCTGACCCTGTCCTTTGCAACCATGCAGTGATCCTCAGCTAGGACCCCTGTCACTACCCCTATAAAAGGGCTCAAGCATCCATCTTCACGAAGACCTTGGGGCGGGAAAAAATCTTGATGGCCTCCTCTACCTGCACCAGCTTCCGGTCCAGCTCAGCACGATGGCCCTGGGCCCTTAATGAGTCTGCCCTGGCAGGCAGCAGCACCAGCTCACGCAGCAGCTGGCTCTGGCCTACATGGGGCCCAGGAACAGTTAGTGTTAGAGGTGTATGGTCCTCAGTGGGTTCCCCATCCAGTCCCCTTTGCCCACATACTCACTCTGGAGCAGATTGCTTAGTGTCTCCAAACGCTGGTTCTCGGGCATGCGAGTGTGGCCAGGGGGCATGGCAGGATCCGGCTGGCTATGTTGGCGGGCCTCAGCCTCCCGTCACCACAGATCCTTACGCTCCAACAAGCTGTGGATGCATAGGCTCAGGTTGATGATCTCATTGCAGATGTTGGCTCCCACCTGCCATAGGTACCCCTCACCCTGGGTGTTGGATAGTAGGACCTACTAATGGGGCACGTGACCCTTCTGTGTGGCGTTGTAGTGCTCCTGGGCTTGCCGTTGCTGTTCCAGCACTTGTGCCAGGACCTGCAGCGAGCGGGAATGCCGCCGGGGGGCCCTCTTGGCAGTGCGGGCATTGTGGCTAATGAAGTCCACACCCAAGCTTGGCCCCTGCAGGACATGGCAAGCGCAATGGGAAGACAGCACTGAGTTGTGCCTCTGAACCCCACAGGATCCCTTCTCCACTTCCTAGCACACACACTCTCACCTTGGCTTTGGGATCTGGTGGGGTTAGCTGGGGACTGGGGACACGGGGTGGTGGGAGCCCAGGGCCACAGCGAGAGTGTGCCCGCAGGAAGTGCACGGTCTCTGTCCCACAGGCAGGGCCAGGCTCCTGGAGGGCAGGGCATAGAAGAGGGATCAGTCAGGCTGTGGTCAAGGTCTCAAAACTGAGCCTCTATCCCCAGCCCTATGGGCCTTCTCCCTCTTGAAGGAGCTTTTCTCATCAGCATTTAAATGTGTGTCTCTCACATCTTTAACAACAAACCACCCTTCCTACCTCAGTTCTGGTTCCAGTTACCATTCTTTTTCTCTCCTTCCTAGCCAAGCTTCCTGGATATGTCCCCCCCGAGGTCATTGACAGCAGGCCTCTGAGCCCACAAATCCAGGGTCATTTCCCTGGTCTCATTGTCCTCAGCCAGATCCTCAATAACTCCTGGGTCTCACTCCTGAGATCCAGACCTGATTCTCCATCTGCTTCCTGGACACACTCCCACCCCCTGGGAGTCCCACAAATGCTGCAGCTCCAACATATCCACATATGACCTTATTGTCTTTTCTCAACCCTGCTCTTCCTTCTGAGACCCCCTCGATAGAGAAATGGTGCCACCATCTACTCAAGACAGAATCCCACCACCATACCCCTATGCCAGACCTTCCCATGGCCCTTAGAAATAAAGGTTGAAAAGTGTTATGTGGCCCTTTATATGGGTCCAGATGACTTCTTAGCCTACCTTCATGCTCTTATCCCCTCACAGTAAACTACACAGCATCCCCACTGCCCACACTCTCTCTGATCTTAGGACTTCTATCTGTGATGTTTCATCTCCAAGGAATGTTCTCTTCCATTCTCCCCTTGCCTAATTCCTCTGCCCCTCAGGATCACCCAGCCATCGCCACTTCTGAGAATCCCCTGCAGCAGAACCAGCTATCTCTTAGTCCCCTGTTACCTTAGTCCCCTGTGATTTTCCTCCCTCCCCATAACTCAGATCAGAATATAATTGCCTCTTAGCAAATAAGATGGACAATACTTCTAGCTCCCTAAGCCAGGTACCTGCAGCTGGGCCTTGAGCCGGGACTCAACTTTGTCATACTTGGGTGAGCGCCACAGAGCCTTCAGGGGCCTGGGCTGGCCCTGTTCCCGGCTGCGCTCCTGCTCACGGAAGCGCCTCTGGATCTCCTTGATCCTCTTCAGGTTCTCCTTCTCATGGTCTTTAGGGTCCTTCCCTGGGAAAAAGATGTTGCCAGGCTCTGCCCTACTTACAGCCCATGAAATCCAACTCATACCAGTTCACATACAGGCCTGACCTCTCCATCTAAGTTAGACCCTATACAGACACTCCAAGTCACCATCTTGTTTCCTTCCTGACATGGTAATTATCTTATTCTATCCCTGATTATTTTCTACATTCTTATTGTGAAGTATACCATTAATTATCTTGTATATAATATTCATCTTACTTGCCTATTGTCTCCCACCTTGACTCAGTGATAGTCCATGCTTGTCTTCAACCTGCTTTTGTAGCACCTCCTGGGCCTAGCACATTGTAGGCACTAAACAACAAACGTTTCATTGATGCCTGAATTCATGAAGCTGAGCTAGGGTTTCCTGAGGACTACCTCATTTCAGTACTCTTGTGGGAAAAGGTAGTTCATTTCCCCCTCCTTTTATAGTAGGGGAAATTGACACGCAGAGAGGCAAAGCGTGAGCCCAGGTCAGGGCAGGAGGAGTAGCAGTTTTTTCTCTCAGATTTGCCTCGCTGCCCCTTCTGCCCAGAACTTACTCTTGGGAGAGGCCCCTGGGCCTAGGGAAATACCCCCAAGTTGCAGCAACATGCCCCCCACGCCGCATCGGCCTCGCTCCAGGATCTCTCTGGCTCCGGGACGGATGCGGGGGCCGCGGGGCGGGGTGGCGTCCAGATCCGGGTCCGAGGTCAGCAGGTCCAGCTTCAGCGCGTTTCCTTCAAGGCGCCCTTGGGCTGAGGGGTCAGACAGGGAAGAGTGCGGGGTTCAGTGGTGGAGCGGGACCCGAGCCTTGCTCGGGCCTCGCTGGGCCGCGGCACCTCCCAACTCACCCGAGGCGGGCCGTCGGTAGTAGTCAGGACAGAGAGTAGGGTCTGGGGGGATGGGCCCCGAAATGCGGGACGGGCCCTCGCACATGCCGCCGTCGCCGCCCTGTAATGGTGCACCGAGGCCTGCCAGGCTGCGTATCCGGGGTCCCGGACCTCCTTCCTCAGCCCCGTGCCTACTCCCTGGACCCGACCGTGAGCCCGGTCGTGCCCTCCATTCCCGCTCCGCGGCCTGCACTAGCCGCCTGGGCTCCTGGCCTACTTCCCTGATCCGTTCACGGCCCCTCCCCCTCAACACCAGGCAGGGGGCTCACCAGAGCAGTTCTTTGCAGCCCGAAGCTGCAACCCGACAGGTTTGCTGTTGCCAAGCAACAGTAGTTTCCGTCTCTGAGGTCAGGGGCCAATGCCCCTGACGCAAAGTCTTCTGGGGCTTGTAGTTCCAGTTCAGGGTGTAGCTGAGCTGTTGCCAGTTGACCTTCCCACCCGGGCTCTCGCCTCCGGACCAGTCTCCCGGGTACACCAGCGCAGCCCCTCAGAGCCTGTCTCCGACCCCCACTCCCCAGCAACGGTCGAGGATGTGCTGACTCCGAGCAGCCATGGCCTCTGCAGGGACCGAGAGGCGACCAGGTGCCCAAGAAGGGACAGCGGAGGGGACTGCACGGCTTTTGGAGGTGCTCGGTGGCCATGCTCAGAGCTCTGAGGTGAACGTCAGGGCTGTCTAGTCTTTAAACTCTTGACCTCGGTGCTTTAGGAGGCCAAACCGTGTGTTGACCCCCTAACTACCAGGACAGGCTTCACAGGCTGGCAGGGGCATGGGCTGGTGCCCTTCATCCACACTGGGTGTCTAATGACTGATCCCTGTATCCTTTGCCTGGCTATGGTGACCAGTTACCTATGTGTCACCTCTAGTGTCCAGTGATGGGAAACCAGGGCCTGGTGTCAGCCCATGAGGCCTGCGGGACCCAGGGTGAAGACAAGTGTCCAGCAGGACCAGTCTCAGAGCCAGAGCTCCAGGAGGAACAAGTCAAGCTGGAGGAAGAGCGGCTGAAGCCAGAGGTTGAAGCACTAGAGGAGAGAGGCTCCAGGCCTATGGCCACCATTGTGAGGTCCAGTCATGGTCCCAAGAGGAAGCCAGTCAAGTGAGGGGGCCTTCAGAGGGAAGGAGCAGTGGGGCTGGTGGGTGTATGTGTGTGTCACATCCCAGTAGGATTCCAAATTCCTGTACTCCTGCAGGGTGCATCATTATTCCCTGCCACCACCATCGCTCCTCTCCCCTTCTGTCCCTATGAGAGGGAGTCTCAAGGCCTTGTAGGGGACTGAGCTCACATGAGCTCTTAGTCCTTGTCCAGCCTGGGGCCTCATTGACCAGGAAAGGGACAAGAATCTGGGCCTGGGGTGGTGGGCATGCAGGGCTATTCCCTAGGCTCAGGGTACAGGGACCAAGGCTGAAGGCTGCCTCCTCAAGCCTCCTATCCCCCAGCCTCCCAGGGCCTAGCCACCAAGCCCATCCTAGGGCTGAAGCTGAGCTGCCCCAGGGGCTGCCGCTGCAGAGGGAGGACCTGGAGGGTAGCCAGAATGAGCCCTCACAGTCTGCAAAACAGCACAAAAAAGCCAAGAAACGCAAGAGTCTGGGGACCTCCTTGCTCCCAGCTGTGGCCAGCACAGTGTCTGCACCCTCAGAGCCCTTGGCACTGGAGCGTGAGTGGCAGTCCCTGGGCCTTCTCTTTTCCCCCTGCCTGCTGGACTCCTGACATGGCACAGCTTGGCGCTCCAGCCCCTTCTCTGCCCCGGGTCTTTGCAGGAAAGGCCCAGCGCCTATGGCCCCTGTACCAGTACATCAACTATTGCAACCCTGAGCTGAACGAGGCAGGGGAAGGGGATAGGGAAGCTGAAGCTGAGGTGGAACCTGAGTCTGAGCTGACCCTGGTCCCCGAGGAGGCATGTGTGGAACAACTGCCAGCCTTGCTGCCGGTGGCAGGTGAGCTGGGCTCAGGCCTCACTTTGCCCTGCCCCAATATGTTCATGTCTCCCACCCATGCTCTGGTTCCCCTTGGAGAGGAGGCTGGAGAGGAGCCTGGGGGTTTGCCCAGCTTGGGGGTCAGTGGCCTCCTCAAGACTGAGATGGATAAGTCAACTCAGGTGGACATCAACAAGATGTTAAGTGTCTGTGCTGCCCCACTTGTACCCCCACTCTCTCCTCAGTACAAGTGACTGTCCCATCCCAAGGGTGGCTCATCTCCCAAGCCTGAACCAGAGCAGCAGACTGGGCTTCAGCCCTCAGGTGGAAGGGGAAATTCTGCCCCTGTCCCCACTTGGGACCTTGGACATGTCGAAAATAAATGTTTTTCCTTTTCTCAGATTTTGACTCCCCAAATAAGATGCCTGAAGAGGGAGAGCCTGGGGAGGGTGGAGGATTCCCCAGTGCAGGGTTTGAAACCTGGCTGGTTATCTGAATCACCCAAGAGCCTGACAAAAGTAGATTCCTGGGTACTACCTCAGATCTAACTGAATCAATCTTCAGGGGTAGGACCTGGTTCTGTGCATTTAAAGGCTCCTCAAATAAACATGAAGATCAGACAGGATAGTGGTGAGGATGGAGAGGGAGGTGATGAGGAACTTGGGGCAGGGAAAGGAAAGCGACTGTCCGGTCATGGGAAGCAGGTGATTGGCCTTGCTTCCTGTCCCCCAGGGAAGGGACTTGCATTTGATCTGACCTTGAGGGGACCAACACTTGGGATATTCCCTTTGAGATGGGAGAGTTCATTTGCCTGCCCCAAGACTGGCAGCTTTGGGAGGCTTTATTGTTAGACCACAGCTGGACCAGACTTTGCCCCCAGAATGGCACTTGGTGACAGAGTCAGTGCTTCCTGGAAGGCAGAGGATGGTGGTGGTGGAGGCAAATGGTCTCCCTGGGGCCCTGTGGCCAAGCCACCAGATGACTTCTGCTTCTCACCCTCAGGGCTCTCTGGGAAGAGGGGGCCAGTGCTGGTCATTTCGGAAACCCTCATATCCTGCTGCTTCCTGGTCCTCCTGCATGTCCCTCTGACACCACAAACACAGGACATTTCAAATTAAATGAATAATTTCTCCTCCCTCCAACCTGCTTTTCTTCCTGCATCTCACCTGCACAATTGTTCAAGCCAAAATCTTGGGTGTCACCCCAAACCCCATCCTGCTCTTTGCTTGTTGACTCCTACAAGCTAATTAGGCATTAAGGATGGTGATTCTGCTACATACACACTGAACCCCTAATGTTGTTTCCCCTCTAGCACTCTGCTCCTCTTACCCCAGCTGCCTGATAACTTCAGTGGTTCCCTGTCATTCCCTGACAAGTTACACCTTTTCTTATCTTCACTCTCTGCATGTGGGGCTTCCACTGCCTAAAATGACTTTATTCCCTCACCCCTTCACTTGGCTAGTGCACATGAACCCTTGAGGACTCAGGGCACCTTGCTTCTTGGCAAGACAGTGTTGCCCTGTATCGTAGCACCCACATACTACTGTCCTTGGGGTTACTGTCTTCAGGACTAGACTGTGAATTCCCCAAGGGCCTTTGTCATTGCATCACAACCACCTAGCAGAAGACCCCCATAAATAGCACCAAGGTGAGACCAAGGTAGAGAACTGGGGAAGCTACAGAGGGACAAATCAGGATCTGAAAAGCTAAGGCTGTCCAGAGGTACGTGTGGCACTCCTGGAATAATGGCCTGGCAAGGTCACTGGAAGGGATGGGGTAGGCAGGCCCAGATGGAAATAGAAAGAAAATGGAAATCATGCCAGGCTGCCCCCCCCCCTTTAGGGATCACTTGGATGCTCATAGGCCCTTTGGAAGGCCACAGGACAAGCTGTGGGGTCAGGACATTTATTCTTTCTGCCTACACTTTTTCCTGGGTAGTGATTTGACCACCCCAAGAAATAACTGTCCACAGGGACCATGCAGACTGAATACTGTCCATAGGGATGAACAAAGATTCTCTGTGATTTTTCAGAGGTAGAGAGCCCTTCAAGATAACTGAGCTTGACCTCCTCACTTTATGGTTGAGGAAGTAGAGGCCTGGAGAGAAATGGCCTTGTAGGAGACCACACCCTGGGCCCCAAGGAGGCTCCACCCTTTCCTGAGCCCTGCAGATCTGAGGACCCTGGGGCTCTCTGACTAAGGCCTGACCCAAGAAGGCCAAGCATCTGCTTTCTCTGTGTGGTCCCTAGGGCTGGAGGTGTGGATCAGGCCATCACTGATAAGGAAGCTCTGTTCCTATCTCCCAACAGGTAATGTTGGAAATACTCAATAACCACAGAAGAAAACAACCTGTCTACATTTCCTGAGGCCTATTACCTGACAGGCTTGTTTAAGCAGGGTTGGTGACAGTAGCCAGAGAAAAGAACAAGTCACCACTACTACTAGAAGCCCATTCTAAGGGAGAAATGCAGAAGCAGCACGATGCAAGGGGACACATGCTATGAAAGAGCTGGGGACCGAGACTGTGGGACCACAGGCGATGGGAGTGACTGTCACTATGCCTAGGAAATAGTGAAGAGGCAGCCCTCTAGCTGACTCCTGGAGAGTTGGGTGGTCTTCCAGGCAGAGGATATGCCAGGGACAAAGCCTTGCTAGTATGGAAGATGTCAGCCGCATGCAGGAGGGCCACTTAGCATGGCTGAGGCAGAGGCACGGCCATCAGGAGACCAGGTTGGGTGAGCCTGGGAGTGATGAGGAGGGGTGTAGGCAAGGAAGGATCTTGGTATGATGTTTTGGAGAGGTTCTTGGGCAGCAGTGTGAAGGACAGAACGAGAAAGGGAGAGACTGAGGACACTGAGATGAGGAGACTTCTGTCATTGTCTGAGTATGAGGCCTAGATTTGGCTGGGGGTTGGAAAATAAGCAACAGGTATTTTGGAAGTTGCTGTAACAGAGAGGAAAAGTTGACTGTACTTTCACTGGCTTGAGAAAACTTTATTTACTTTGACCCAAGGAAGATCCTGAGGTTTGGGAACCAAGTTCTGGGAGGTGATGCTGCCTTCCTCCAGGAGGGGGCAGAGCAGGACAAGCCTGGGAGCAGTTGCCAGCTCAATTACCCCTGGGGACCAAAACACAGCTTCCTTGACCACAGGCATCTGGGCCACTTCAAGGCACATCTCCTCCCTGGGCCCAACCCAAGAGATACATGATAGTTAAAGATGTTTAAAGGATGACCATGTACCTAGACTGGGGAGTGCCAACAGAGGACCTGGAGTTCTCATAAAAGTAGCTCTGCACTAAGCCCCCTGCAGCCTGCCCAGGACTTCTGGGAATGTCTTTGTAAACAAAGGGTTTGCTGCTGAGCCCTACAAAACTTTAGTAGTGTCACTGTGAGTCAGCAATGTGATCCTTTAAGTAGGAGCATCTGAGTCAGGCAGAATAGATGCATGTGCTTTCTTGGTCAATTCCTAAATTTAGGGATCCCAACATCCTAGTAACACAGAGGGACTGATCTGGAGCTGACCTGATGGTCCCTAGGAGGAAGGGGGCAGCCTCTCCCTCAACTCTACCAGTGTGCTGCCTGGTGAGGCTCCCTCCGCAGTCCACCTCCTAGTTCAGGCCAGGGATGGGGATCTAAGCCAGGAGAGGCAATGCCTGGGCACTCGGAGTCTGAGGAGCCACAAGTGCTGGGGAAAGAGTAGTTCAGGGTCAGGCTGCGTAGTCAAATGACCCTGACCAGGCTCCTGTCACTTGTAACTTACAGGAGGCAAGTAACTTTCCTTCTCTCTGCCTCAGTTTTCTTATCTGAATATGGCAATATTAATATTAGTACCTCCAAGAGTGGTTTGGATATTAAATAATATGCATAAAACGTCTACTCTGGGGGTCCCAGCATGCAAAAAATACTAGCTATTGTTATTTTATCTCACAAAGACACGGTATAAAACCAATATGGGAAAACAGGGGTCAGGCTGCGTAGTCAAAAGCCTGGTCACTTTCATAAGGGGTGCCAAGAGGAAGATGGAGCCCTCCCTGAGTCTCCCTCTTTCTGGAAAGGAGGCCAGGGCAAGGCAGAGAGGGAAAGTTAGAAAAGGGAAAGGCTGGTCTAGGCTTAATCCTGGCAGACTGACCAGGAAACAAAGGGCTGCACATGCCCCACCCCCACCCCTGACTGACATTGCTAAAAGGCTATCTCTGTGCAGAAGGCAGTTAATAAATGCTCGGCTGGTGACAGGCTGGCTGGGCCAGTTCGTGTTTGGCCATACCCACTCCAAGGAGAAGTGTGCGAGGCCTTCCTCCTCAAGTTCATCCCGTCCAGCCTCCTTGGAAACATTCCTCACCTCTGCTCTCCCAGGGCTCCCCTGGAGCCAACTTCATGGTTTTAAGAACAGAACTCCTCCTGGCCTGCAGCCCAGGGAGTCCCCAAACTCTTCCACTATCTCCCTGAACCAGAAGGCCCAAAAGGTCCCCATCAGGAAGTCCTGAGTCCTGTTTTCTGAGGAAAGACTTTTCTTTGGAGGGCTCCTGGGATTTGGGGATGAGGGAAGAGCTGGGAGATGAGGGCAGGTGGTGGCAGAAGACTGTGTGGCCCAAGGCCCACAAGACAGTGATGGATCCAGAGGTCAGCCACCAGGAAAGTGGAAAATATAAACAATCTACAGCAATACACAGGCCTTTCATTATTTAAAAAAAACCTAACTTACCAAACAGCCAAAAACCACATGCCATAGTGTCAGTTTTATTTATTAACATTTACCAGATGTTCCAGAGCTCTCCCTTGTCTCCTCTCTGCCAAATCAGGGGCCCTCTGCTCTAGTCAACAGCCCCCTGAGAGCCCACCTAATGAAGAACCCCCCTCAAGAAGGGGCAGCCTGAAAGCCGGAAGGGCCTGGTCCCATGAGACGGAGGGCAGGTGCAGATCCCTGAAGGATGACTTGCCCTCACCATTCCTGAGATGTCCTAAGCCCAAAAGGGGCATGGAAACAAGACTTCTTGTCATTTCTCCTCAGGCCTGAGGAATCAGCCAAACTGGCTCCTTACTATGCGTCCCCATCCAGTTACAATCACGGACAGGCTGAAGAAGCCCCCAAGCCAAGCTTTTGCTGGCCCTGCTCATCAGCATTAACTACAGAGACCTGGCAGCAGCTCTGCCTCTCGCACACGGTGCTAGCCCACTGGGCCATGGCAACAGGAACATCACCATCCTGCAAGTCTGAGGAGTAAATGAGTGCTCATGTTGGCCTTCACCTGAACCCTGCCCAAGCTGATTTGTTAAATGAAAGACACTGTCTATGCTATAGCCAAGCCCTCCCATCTTGTTCCTGGTCCCTCTCTCGCCCCTTTGCCCTGTGGCAGGGAGCCCACGTGCAGGCTCACAGGTTATTCCGCTGGAATGCCTCACACAGGTTCTGGTTGGCATCAGGTTCTTCGGTCAGCACCTCTACAGCCTCCCATTCCCCAGATCGGCTGGACCTTTTGATGGCATCCACCACACTCTGCATGTACAACCCATCCTCAAATGAGGCAGCCATGGAGACGGGGGTGTGGTCCCATGTGCGACGGTCCCCCTGCCCCTGAAAGGACTCACGCAGGGCCTGCACCATGTAGACCATGCCCTTCAGGTAGAGCAGCGGGACGTCCTGGGGCCCCTGTTCAGGCAGTCCTGCGCCCACAGCCAACGAGTCTCTCAGTAGCAACTCCTCTTGTGTGGCAGAGTTCTTCTGCCCATAGAGGTCAGCTCCCCGGGCAACAAGGCGTCCTGCAGAGCCCACCACCATGACCTCATGCACAAAGGCACCTGGCATGTTGAAGTTGAGTGTTACTGTGCTGCACACTCCCCCACCCATGAGCATCTGGAAAAAACAGAAGTCATCGCTGGTGACATGCCGGATGCCATGAATGGCCGCATTCTGCCTCACAAAGGTCTTGAGGAGCCCATGGACCTTCTCGGCTCTTTGGCCAGTCAAGTGGGTAAGCAGGTCCACGATGTAGGTGCCCATGGTGTGCAGGCCCCCACCACCCATGAGCTCGTCACAGATCCAGCCATAGTTGGGGCTGAGCAGGCTGCCTGAGTAGATGCGGGCATCGCAGATCATCACTGCACCCACATAGTGTTCGGCGATCAGCTGCTTCATGCGCACAAAGGCAGGCAGGAAGCGCAGCACATTCCCCACCAGGCTCATCAGCTGTGGATAGTAGCGTGAGGCTGTCACCATCCGGAAAGCATCCACTGAGGTTGCTGCCTTCTCACAAACCACATTCTTCCCAATACCTGAGAATAAAACACAACAGGAAATCTCAAAGTTCCCAGGGGTTTACACTGGGGGAGAAATGTATTTCTTGAAGGCAGATGGACTCAGGAAAGCCTCTTATGAGACCAGATGGTGGCCTGGGACAAGAGAAAAGGACTCAGCTTGGATGAAAATGGTACCTAGTGCCCAGCCGGGGGTGGCTCAGCGGTTGAGCGTCGACCTAGGATCCAGGTCGATCGGGGTTCGATTCTGGGTCAGGGCACATGCCCGGGTTGCGAGCTCGATCGATGACTCTCTCATCATTGATGTTCCTATCTCTCTCTCTCCCTCTCCTTTCCTTTCTCTGAAATCAATAAAGATATATTAAAAAAAAAAAGAAAGAAAGAAAATGGTACCTAGTGACTGGGACTACAGAAAGAGTTATGCACTGGAGAAAGAGAAGTTCTTACGGGAAAATGAAAGTGTAGGCACAAAGCACAAAGCAGGAGTGGGAAGTAGAGGTGGTGCAGTGACAGTTTTTCGTGTCAACTTGGTTAGGCTTTGGTGTCTATCAGATATCTCTGGACATTGCTGGGAAGGTAGTTTTTGTATGTGATTGACATTTAAACCAGTAGACTTTGAGTAGATTACCCTCCATAATGTGAGTGGGCCTCACCCAATCAGTTGAAGAGCTTAAGAAAAAAGACTGGTTCCCTGAAGAGGAAGGAATTCTGCCTCCAGATTGCCTTCAAACTCAAGTCTCCAACATCAACTCTTGCTGGGATTTCTATACTGTTGTCCTGCCCTGTGGATTTCAGTTTTGTCAGCTCCTACAATCACGAGCCATGACACCTCTGTTTTCCTATCCAGAGGAATGGGACTAGATAAATGATTTCAAACAGCAGGGTAGAGAAGCAGCCCAGGAAAACAACTTTCATGTTTTACAAAATCTGGAGATTCTCTCTATATTTTTTATTAATCCTCACTCGAGGATAATTTTTCCATTGGTTTTCAAAGAGAGTGAAATGGAGGGAAGGGAAGAGAAAGAGAGAGAGAGAAACATCAATGTGAAAGAGATACATCAACTGGTTGCCTCGAGTGTGTGCCCTGACTGGGATCAAACCTACAACCCAGGTATGTGCCCTTGACTGGGAATTGAACCTACAACCCTTCAGTGCACAGGCTGACACTCTGACCACTGAGCTATGCTGGCCGGGCTCTATTTTTTAAAACATAAAAGGTACTGCTGCTAGAAAAATAAATTTGAAAGTACCAGACTGAGTCACTCTTGCTTCTGGTCCCCTCTCCACCCTTTCCTGGGTTGCAGCCCAATGTTGGCTCCCTGGGTCACACCAGTAGACTGGGCTTGCATGGGTAGAATTTGTGAATGTCTTCATTCATCCAGTGTGCTAGGCCCTGTGTCAAACACTGGGGATATAACATCAGGAGTGGTCTCTACCTTCAGACAACTTACATTTAGTGAAGAGACAGCCATTGACCAAATTATCATATAAATGCCATGAATATGATATAAATGGTAATATGAACATAAGCAGGGACCTGACCTGGACTGGGGGTCAGGGAAGGCTTCTCAAGGGACTGGTGTTCTTGGGATTAAATTATCTGGGTCAGCCTGCTTGAGGAATGATCTCTTGTTATCTCAAGAGCCCATGGGGACACAGCTGGCAAACTCAGTGTTTTTCTAATGAAGCACATAAGTACCAAGAACTAGGCACAGAAACACACCTCTTAGTGAGAGATTTCAGAAAACATTCAACTATGTCAAAAATATTAGTTGGGGCACTTTGCATATTAAAGCATATTTTTCTGAACCATTTCTGAGCTGAAAATAAAACACATCAGGGCCCCTCCTTCTCCTTTAAAGAATTCATGGGAAAGATTTAAGGATAAAATTTGAGGTAGTAAAAATGAAAAAAGAAAAAGAAAAAAAAGGTCAAACAAAAGCAGAAAATTATATGCTAGAGAGAGAGCTGTGATATGAAAAGTACACTTCTGGAGGATAAGTCCATGAATTAACTTTAGGAAAAACTAGTAAGAATGAGGGCAAGAAACAATCTTCATGGCCTCAGAAGTCTGGTAAAAATATGATTTAATAAGTGGAGGAAAATGCAATTTTGCCCACAGCATTAAGACTTGGTGAGAAGTAAATGTAACATTCCTTGGCCATGGTTTCTGTAACTGAACAAGAAGATGGTGGATTAGATCAGTGACTCTCCATCCTCAGTGTGCATCAGAATTACCAGGAAGGGTTGTTCAAACACAGATTGTTAGGCCTCATCCCAGGTTCAGAAGGTCTGGGGTGGAGCCTGAGAATCTGGATTTGTAATAAGTTCCCAGGTCATGCTGATGCTATTGGTTGAGGGACCACACTTTGAGAACCACTGGACTGGGTACTCTCTCCATGGCTCCTGCAGGCCTGTGAATTCCACAAAAAGAAAGTACAGTACTACGACTATTAAAAAGTTTTAGGAAGCCCGGCCGGGCGTGGCTCAGCGGTTGAGCATCGACCTAGGATCCAGGAGATCCTGGTTCAATTCCCGAACAGGGCACATGCCTGGGTTGCGGGCTTGCAGCCGATCAATAATGACTCTCTCATCATTGATGTTTCAACTCTCTCTGCCCCTCTCCCTTCCTCTCTCTGAACTCAATAAAGATATATTTAAAAAACAATGTTTTAGGAAAATTAGTCTAGGTCATATATGTCCTTATAGGTGCAAATCTGTATCAGTGCTTCATTCCTCACATCATTGCTTTAAGTCTCCACAACTTACCTTATACAATGCTTAGTGCAGCACAATGTCAGAGGATCTGTAACTAAATAGAGGCTTTAGATGACTGTGATAAACTTTTCACTGGTTCAAGATCTGGAAAGGCTAATCTAAAATTAGAGTACTTCACCCGGCCGAGCGTGGCTCAGCGGTTGAGCCTCGACCTGGGATCCAGGCGATCGGGGTTCGATTCCCGGTCAGGGCACATGCCCAGGTTGTGGGCTCGATCAATGACTCTGATCATTGATGTTTCTATCTCTCTCTCTCCCTCTCCTTTCCTCTCTCTGAAATCAATAAAGATATATTTAAAAAAATAAATAAAGAAAATTAGAGTACTTCAACAGCTACAGAGCTAAATAATTATGGTTGGGGTTTTTCAGCTCTAAAAAGATTGAGGATCTAAACCTTAGCCCCAGTAACAGAAAAAAAAAAGAGATCTATGTGGGGAAAATAAAGAAAATATTCTCTCATGCATATATAAAGAGATTCATACATGGGAACACAGTTAGGTGGAATGGCAGTGAGGGTCTTTTGGGATATTGGCTCTGAGGACTTTATTTATTTTAATATTTTTATTGATTTCAGAAAGAGGGAGGAGAGAGAGAGAGAGAGAGAGAGAGAGAGAGAAAGAAACATTAATGATGAGAGAGAGTCACTGATTGGTTGCCTCCTGCACATCCCCTGCTGGGGATCGAGCCCATAACCTGGGCATGTGCCCTGATCGGGAATTGAACTGAGATCTCCTGGATCATAGGTCAACGCTCAACCGCTGAGCCACTCCAGCCGGGTGGCTCTGAGGACTTTTAAATATAATGTACAGGAAAACCTGGCTTTCCCTTGTGATACTAGTGTCTTTCTTGGTCAGCACTTGGAGGCAGTCACGTATCATGCTGGGAAGCCTGAATGATGCTTTTATTTCATCCCCATTTCACAGGGGCTCACAGAGGTTGAGAAGGACAGAAATAGGACCAGAAGCAGGGTCTGATGTCAAGGTCAGTTTGATGTTCTGTGTACAGCAGTTCATATACTTACACCCAGTCCTTTGGGAAAACTAGAGGAGTTCTTCTGGCCTTTTCTATATGTGCTAAAGTCAAGTCAGAATTCTCACCAAAAAAAAGTGAAAGCACTCAGGGAGTGAACTTCATGATCACAACAGTCTCAGTGGCTCCTCTGGGGCCTGAGTGGGCAGTGCCTAAGGGCAGATCTAGCTGACATGGGCTCTCCCAGGCCCATCACTCCTGAGATCATGTACCACCAAGAATGCTCATTCACATCCCCTTTTCTTCCTGACAAGAGACGTGGAAAGAAAGCTGAAGGCCCTGCTACACCAAGGGTTGGAACACAAGGTCTCAGAAGTTTCCGATCATTCCTGTACTTCCTGTTTATATTAAATGGCCCAAATCCAGCATTTCCCCATACCAGGAACCTGAAAACAGCAGGCTTGTGGCCAAAGAATCCTGGGGCTTCACTGTTTTTCCTACAAAGCTTGGAAATTGTTTCTGTGGGGACCCTACAATTCAAGGCCAAAAGCCTTTACAACTCTGCCTCTGGACATACCTGGCCTCACCAAGCTACATTCATAACACAAGGGATGGCAAAAAGTCAAGTGGCCATGGTAGCTTGATTCCCCTTGAACCAGCCCTCTGTTAAAGTGTTGGCTTAGGTCTACTTCTAAACTCAATCTGGGAGCCATTCATTATCTGCCCTCCCAAGAATCTAGAGCCAATGAACATACTCAGAGAGAGAGAGAGAAAGAGAAAGAGAGTGCTAGCTCCCTGGAAAAGAAAACTAGAAAGCTAGCCACCTGTAATTTTTGGCCTCGAATCAACCACCAGACAGAATCATGTTCTTGCTCACTTCAATGAACATTTATCTTTCCCCACCCATTAGGCCAAAAGACACCCTCTATCCTTAGAACAAGGAAGAAACCAAGAAAAGAGCCTTCGACTCTCCACCATGGTAGTGGCCAGGAGGTGTCGAGGTCAGGCTGGACTCAGGGGCCTCTGACTGCATTCAAGAGACACTTGGTTCCTATGAACTTAAAATAATTGTTCTGTCAATTAATTATAGGCTACTTGAGTTGTTACTTAAGTCTTTTCCCATTTATCTTGTAATGTGGGTTATTTCTAGGCTCTTCAGTTGGACTGTGAAATCTGAATGTAAGAAGAGCTCTGTGATCCAACATGGCTTTGAATGTCCAGAATGATACCAAGACAGTGCCTAGCACACAGGAGGCATTTAAAAAAATTGCTGGATGGATGTTTACTGATTCGTTTTCCTATTAAATTAGATTCTGGTTTATATAAGACAAAGAGAAGAATTTTTCTACAGTGGACAGGAAAGAGAAGCCTAACAGGAACTGTAGGAAAAGGGCTTAGCAAGCTACGCGCCCAGCCAGGGCAGGAGGTTGCTGAGCCAACTGCTTCCTGAGGGAATAAAGATGTGAGCAGGCTATCCCGTGGATCCTATAAGGGAAGCCCAGTGCTGTCAGAGAGCCTTCCTGCCCTCTGGCATACAAGATCGCAAAGTTTGGCAGGAAGGGTGTGTGCTCAAACTAGTCTAGGCCTGACAAAACATGGGAAATGCAGCCTTGCTACACACCCTCCTCTCCTTTCTGTGGTGATGCATGCCATAGAAATGGAAGAACAAAAGTCAATCACAATCAATTTCCCAATGCCCAGGTCTCTGAACTGTGACTTTATAGAGACAAACTTTTTACATTGCCTAAAATGTAATAATCCCTAGTCCTTGTGACGGGCCAACTCTTAAGGCATTTGCTTAATTTTTTTCTCAGAGATTTACTTATGGGAGGTAGGGAATGCTGTCTTCCCCACTCATTGGAGCATTTCCTCCCAGCTATAAGACTCCCCAACTTGTCCTCCCCCAGCACTGCCCCAGGGGTAGACTCAAGCCCAAGAAGGACCACCCAGAGGGAAGCACAATCTGCCCCTGCCTGACCATCCATACCTAGAGCCTTCACAGATATTTGCCGGGTGAGTGGAGGGGGGATATTGATGCACACCAGATCCACATCTTGATGCAGCAAGACATCATCTGTTCGGCTGGTGTAGAAGGTAATGTTCATTTCCTCGGCAAGCTGTTTCGCCTCCTCCTCAGTCTTCCCCCATAGGGCCTCCACAGTGAACCCTTCTGCCCTCAGCAGTGGGACCAGAACCCGGGCGGAGCTGCCAGTCCCAAACACGCCCACTCCTGGGAGCATCTTCATGCCGGCTTCTCTGTTCACCAACTCATCTCCTCACAAGAGCCTCCAACATGAATACGACCATCCCACAGTCCTGATCAAACATGGCTCCTGGAACAGCAAGCAGTACACCAGCTATTAGTGGAGGGCACATTCAGCTTTCTGGCTTATTCAGAAGCAACAAGTTTTCTGCCCAAAAGCACAAATAAAACACTGCTCTGAAATGAAAAGCTGTAGAAGCTTCTCCCAGGGAGGCTAAAGGATATTAGCAATATCCATCTCCTGGAAGAGGGGAAAATGACAAAATGAGTAAAGCTGGGTTCTAATCTCTGTTCTGTTACTTAATTTTCTGTGTGACTCTGGTCAACACATTCTACCTTTAGGGCCTTAAAGGTAAAAGTTCATGATTCTATATTACAGGGGGAAAAAGAAGAGTGGGAAACAAACAAACAAAAACAGTAAAAGATGAGAAACAACTACCTAGGTGCTATACAGATTATAATTTAAAAGTTTATAGTAGCAGCCCTGGCCAGGTAGCTCAGTTGGTTTAGAGCATCGTCCCGATATGCCAAGGTTGCAGGTTTGATCCGAAGTCTGGGCACATGTATGAATCCACCAATGAATGCATGAATAAGCAGAACAACAAATCCATGTCTCTCTCAAATCAGTTAAAAAATAATAATTAAAAAAATTTGTTTTTTGCCTGGCCGGGCATGGCTCAGTGGCTGAACATCGACCTAGGATCCAGCAGATTGTGGTTCAATTCCAGATCAGGGCACATGCCCGGGTTGCAGGCTTGATCCCTAGTGGGGGACATGCAGGAGGCAGCTGATCAATGAAGACTCTCTCATCATTGATGTTTCTATCTCTCTCTCCCTCTCCCTTCCTCTATCTGAAATCAATCAAGACATATTAAAAAAAAAAAAGTTGGGGGTACAGTTACTTGAAACAACAACAATGGCTTCAGAGTAACTGATGGTGAGTGTGTGTTTTCTTTCAGGGAGTATTAAATACCAAGTAGGGACCAGTTGTTTATTGAGATTCTTTCAGATCATATTAACACCATATCAACTCATAAAAACTGTACACTAAGAGAGTAGAGTCATTCATAGGAAAGTAGTTATTCATAATAGCCAAAAAATGGAAACAACCCAAATGTCCATCAACTGCTCAGAGGATAAACAAAATGTGGTATATCCACACAACGTAGTATTATTCAGCCACAAAAGGTAATTGAAGTACTAATACAAACTACAATATGGATGGACTTTGAAAACATTATGCTAAGTGAAAGAAGCTAGTCACAGAAGGCGATACGGTACATGATTCCATTAATATAAAATGTTCACAACAGGCAAATCCATGGAGACAGTAAATCAGCAAGAAGGCATGGGAGAGGGAAGTACAGGGACCCAACTTTATTCTCCTGCAGGTGGTTTTTCAGTTGTTCCAGCACCATTTATTGAAGAGACTATTCTTTCCTCTGGAATGACCTTGACACCTTTGTTGAAAATCAGTTGACCAAAAATATGTGTTTATTTATGGAATCTCAATTTTATTCCATTGACCTATATATGTCTATCCTTATGTCAGTACCACCTGACTTAATTACTTTAACTTAAAAAAAAAAAATCTTTATTGATTTCAGAGAGAGGAAGGGAGAGGGAGAGATAGAAACATCAATGATGAGAGAGTCATCATTGACCGGCTGCCTCCTGCACACCTCTGATTGGGGATCGAGCCCACAGCCCGGGCATGTGCCCTGACCCGGAATCAAACTGTGATCTCCTGGATCCTAGGTCGATGCTCAACTGCTGAGCCACGTCCGGCTGGGCTAATTAACTTTATAGTAAGTTCTGAAATCAGTAAATATGAGTTTTCCAACTTTGGTCTTTTTCAATTTTGTTTTGGCTATTCTGGGTCCCTTGTATTTTCCTATGAATTTTAGGATCAGTTTGTCAATCTGGGATTTTGACAGAGATTGCTTTGACCCTGTAGATCAACTTGAGGAAAACTGTCATCTTAATAACACTGAATTTTCTGATCCACGAACATAGGGTGTCTTTCCATTTATTTAGGTCTTCTTCATTTAAAAAAAAAATGTTTTTATTGATTTTTTTAGAGAGCAAGGAAGGGAGAGAGAGAAACATTGATGTGAGAGAAAAACATTGATCGGTTGCCTCTCACATGCACTCCAAATGGGGATCAAACCTGCAACCTGGGTATGTGCCCTGACTGGGAATTGAACCAGTGACCTTGTGGGGCACAGGACATGTTCAACCCACTGAGAAACACCAGCCAGGGCTATTTAGGTCTTCTTTAATTTCTTTCAATAGTGTTTTGTGGTTTTCAGAGTATAAATTACATACTTTTATTTGTCAAATTTATTCGTATTTAATTTTGTTTGATGCTACTGCAAATGGAAATTTTTTCTTAATTTCATTTNTGACCTTGTGGGACACAGGACATGTTCAACCCACTGAGAAACACCAGCCAGGGCTATTTAGGTCTTCTTTAATTTCTTTCAATAGTGTTTTGTGGTTTTCAGAGTATAAATTACATACTTTTATTTGTCAAATTTATTCGTATTTAATTTTGTTTGATGCTACTGCAAATGGAAATTTTTTCTTAATTTCATTTTCAGATCCAGCATCTCTTTTACTTCTACGGTAGACACAAGTGTACTGTGCAAAGTGCATGTCCATGTTAGGGGTTGTTTTGCCAGTACAGCCCAGTACAGCATCCTGTGCTACTAGATTCTACATGAAACACACCCGAGCCTTTGTGAACCACTGAAATAAGCAGGACTTGGGCTGCCTCTAACCCCAGACCCCTGTCAGCTTCCTGCCTCCTCTGGTCTCTACTGTCTGGGGCTGTGGGCTTGGCTTGCCTCCTGAACTTTACCATAAGCTTCCCTTCTAATTAGAAGACAGGTTAGTCACATAGACTCTTCTATAATTTTCATGTCTTGGACTCCTCCCTTCAGGAATTTTGGTCACTTTCTGCATTTGCAGGTTCTTCTTTTTCTTTTGTTAATCCTCATCCGAGGATATTTTTCCCATTGATTTTTAGAGAGAGTGGGAGGGAGGGAAGGGGGGAAAGAGAAAGAGAAACATCGATGTCAGAGAGAGACATCGATTGATTGTCTCCCGCAGGTGTCCTCACTGGGGCCAGGGATGGAGCCTGCAATCCAGGTATGTGCCCTTGACTGGGAATCGAACCCATGACCCTTCAGTGTACAGGCCAATGCTCCAACCACTGAGCCACACCAGCCAGGGCCATTTACAGGTTCTTTTTGGTTACTTACAGGTCATGGACATCCTGAGAGCTTGAGTGTCAAATTTGTTGCACTAGATAAGATTCTGCTTAAATTTTGTGGATCATTAATAACCAGTTAAAAGGGCCAGGGTAATGAGACACAGCCACCATAAGCAAGGACATCCATGTCCAGTCTAAATTCATGCCCAGGGCACACTTCCTCCTCTCTAGCACCTCATTTCTTCATGCCCTAGTTATGTTTGGGTATATGTTTGCATTTGTGGTTTAAAACACAGAATGAATTAGAATAAATTTTAATCACCTCTGTTTTACTGAAACTGACTCAAAGGGCAGCTTTATCACATCCACAAAGGGGCATCAGCTGGACTGAGGAAGCCAGATGGCAAGAAACTAAGCAGGCTTGATGGCTAGGTATTTCCTGCTCCAGCAGGCAGAGCTGGTTTTCCTCATTTATTTCAGTGATTATGCCCTGGCCAGGTGGCTCAGTTGGTTGGAGCATCATCCCATACATCAAAGGATCACAAGTTAGATTCCTGGTTCGGGTGTGTACAGCAGGCAACCAATCAATGTTAATCTCTCACATCGATGTTTCTCTCTCTCTCTTCTTCTCTCTCTAAAAATATCAATAAAAAACATATCCTGGGATAAGGGTTAAAAAAAATCAGTTATTTCAGTGACTACCCTTTCTCACCCCTAACATTTCCCTCCTGCTTGCCCCTAATATCCTTGCATATACCTTTTTTTGCCTCCAAAGATCTCTATAAACCCAGTCCTAACTCACATCTGGTCAAGAATGAAGGGTGGAAAAGTGCCTTGGCAGGACTGGCTATTCATACTTTGACAAGGCTACAGATTATGGAGAAGGTAGTACAGAAGTTAGAGGCATGGAATCTGCAGCCAACCTTGCCTGGGCTCAAGTCCTGGCTCCACCACTCACCAGCCCAGTAATCTCAGATAAGTTTCTTAATCATTCTGGTGCCTCTCTTGTCTCATCTGTAAAATGGGGATAACTGTATCTAACTCTTAGTGGAATTAATGATTAAATTATTAATATTTGTACAGCATTTATAAAAGGGTCTGGCCCATAGTAAATCACTACATAGGTCTTTTTAAAAAGACATGTGTATTACTGACTTAGATATCTCCCCTTCAAAAGCTATGTAGGAATATGAAGATAATATTCTGAGCTAACGTGCAGTGAAGTGGAATAGGCCAGGCAGTATTTAGTGTCTAGACATACAGTACATCTCTCTAAGTCCATGCAACCCTGTCTTACAGATGAGGAAACAGAAGCTCAGAGAGGCTAGGTAACTTTTCCAGGGTTCCACAGCTGGCTGTGTGGACAAATAAGGGGTTCTATGGAAAGCAACCTCACAGGGTGATCTGATCATAAATTCCTAATTGGGCAGGTCATGGTGGGTAGTCATGCCTCAAGCATGACTTCTGCAGTAAAAGGTTTATCTTTACCTTAAGCAAGCCCTGTTCATTGTTTCTGTGCATCTAGGTTAACATACCTTTGAAATCCCTCTCTTTCAAAGTAACCACCCTCAAGAGGAGCACACAATCGTGTTAACTATCCTGTATTCCAGTCCCTGCCTTGCTTTTTCCCACTTTCACGTAATCTTCCCTACCTTCCCCTCCTTAATTCCAAATGCACAAAAGAAGCTGCCAACTGCCATACTCTGAAAGCAATTTTTCTCAGCCTACTGAGCTCTTGCTTCCAGGCATATCCTCTGGTTTGGATCAAATAAATTTTTATAAAAACTCTCTACAGATTTGAACTTTCTTACATTGATAGCTGTGTATATGCCAGACCTGCCACAATCAGCTGT